CACCGGGCGCTGTCGCCGGAGCTCGGAGGCTGCCCCGGGCCAGCCTCGCTCTTAGGGCTCAGTTCTCTGAAGCTCACCAAGGGCGTCTGTCTTAGGAGTATGTGAGTAAACTTCCCTTAAACCGGATATTTTGTTTCCTTTGGCAAGGTAGAGCGTTGCAGGATTTGCTTGATTAAGGGCATGAACTGTGTCCCAGGCATAGGAGCGGCTCCCTGGACCCTGAGCTCGGGGAATAAATGGCCTTTTGGGGATTTTTAGGGTGGGTTGCTCTCCATGGGTGCAGAGGAACGTCTAGCAAACGTTACCAGGACTTCTTTGCAGTGTGTCCTCTTGTGACTGCGACTTAGGGGACAGGGATTGATGCCCAAGTTCCTCATTCGCTTTTCAAAAATTACATTTATCGGGGTAACGCTGGTTAATAACATTAAATGTTTCAGGTGTACAGTCCTCCGATACATCATCTGTATAATGCAGTGTGCGCTCACCACCCAAAGTCTAGCCTCCTTCTGCCATCATATGTTTGGCCCTGTTTATCCCAGCCCCACCCTCACTCACCTTGCATTTCCCCCAAGCACAGAGGTGTTATAGGGCAGCTTGTTGGATGTGTGTGTGTGTGTGTGTGTGTGTGTGTGTGTGTGTGTGTGTGTGACTTCTGGCCAAGAGGTAACCTTGGATAACCAGTTCTGTACCACACCAAGAGTGACCGAGAATGCTGTTGATGAAAGGGGTTCGGGAACCAGGGAGATGACATAGTTCCTTCAGAGGAGGGGAATTTGGCACTAGGTACCCCTGGTGTCCTCTCCGGACACCAGCAGACTGCGTGTCCAGGCTTAGTTAGTGCTGCGTGAAACACATGTGAGTATGTGGCACTCGGCTATACTGAAATAGGGTCCTCAGACCCCTGGAATTAGAGTGGGTTGATTCGGTGAGACTTAAAAAATACACATGTGAGGGAACTAGGTAACGTTAGAAAATTACAATCCACACAATCTGGTAATTTATTTTTTAGTTTCTTAGGAACCATATGTTTTATGATGGTCTTAAGGGTTTGGCTCTTTAGTTAATTTTGCCTTTTAATTTCTATATTTTCTTTTCCTCTGTCTCTTTGCTGGATTTGTAGCGCTACTCTTTGGAAAGGGATCATAACTTCTGTTTAGAATTTAGGGACTGTGCAATTCATCTGATCTGGAAAGGGTACATGCCTCAGATTTCTCTGCTACACAGTACGAGGTTCACAAGGACCAACTAAGACAAAAGAGGAAGGAACCCCACTTTCTTGCTGTCATTTTTATTATTTAATACTCAGCAGGTTCAGCATTTCAGAGAAGATTACTTCTGGGGAGGAGAATGGGAGAACATTTTGTAATTTATGGCCAAGGGTGACAGAGTAAAACACTTTGGTTATGCTGTTTGTCTTTCTTTGGCTTTAAATATAAAAGATATAAATAATGGAGAAAACCATTTAGTACAAGTTAGGCAAGTGAGGCAAAGAGGTGCTGGAAATCAGTTTATGTGTTTTATAAACACTCTGTCCCAGATGAACCACCCTTTCCTTGCTTCCATCTCAGAGACTGTAGAGGCCTTCAATTATCGACTGGAATGTGGATGTGTAACAGACTCAGGCTGGACTGAATATTCAGGGAAGCATTTTTTCCCTTAAGAAAATAACTTGAACTAGCAGATGTCATGAACAAGGTTTTATTTTCTAGAGTTGTGAAAATAATTCCATTAAAATATGACTCTCTGATGGGGGTTAGAATTGTAATACTTTTTTTGAGCTAGAAAATAAAATTCAATGTCAGAAAAATTATAAATTAGAAGTCAAGACATTTAGTTTTCAATAAGAAACAACTCCAGTCCTTTATCTAGCATTTGCAGTAGCCCTGAGAACTCAGTCCCCAAATTTCGTTATTTTGCTAAGACCATCAATAAACTGAAGAATGAGCTTTCTCTGTCAACATTGACGAGTGGCACATATTAGTGAATAATGGTCATCTTCCACTGTACTTCGGAATTCCGTAGATCTTGTTTGAATAGATGTGTGTCTGAGTTGACCTAAATAACTTCGTTGAGAGATGTGCTTGGAAATTTTCATGTTACTTTTACCAAAATGGCTTGTTCAAGATTACATTTTTTTAATCATATGGAGAAACTATTTGCCTACGACTGGCTAACAAATTAAAAAGAGACTTGATAGTATAAATACTGTTCTTTTACTGTCAGGAGTTTATTTTGATGACCTATATTTTCTATTGGAAAAAAGAGTAAATCAGGAAATTCTTATCAGGCTGACAGCATTTTTAGACTGTGTGGTGCGTGGGTGAAGTGGGACTAATATTGACTTGGCCCTAATGCAGTCATCTGAGAATACATATTTTGGTTGTTTTTGCATTCCATAAGGTTTTATCATTATTATCCATGAAGATTGTTTTCTCCGTACATGGGAAGTGACCCCTAATAGCATCGTGCCTGGGAGACAAAAATAAGGGCTACAACTTCTACTGCATTTAAACATTTGATTTGCTGAGGAGAAAAAGGGAAAAGAGAGAAAATGACAAAGTTACAAAGAAAGTTTAATGATCATTTATAAAATGTTAGAAAACGGCATTGAAGTTTTATATTACTTCTGTGTTCAGTTGTAGTAGTGTATCTTTGAACTGATCCCCCCCCCCCAAATCTGTATAGCTCTGAAGTCCTTGTAAATTGGTAATAGCTCATTATGATAGATTTTAAACAAGTATATTTTTCCTCTTAATGTATGATCATATAGCTGAAAATTATTTTTGAAACAGTAGAACTTCATACTCTAGGCATGTGTACTTTCAGCTTTTTCCAACAGCACAAATATACACTTGAAATTTTAAGCTAAGTTTTTTATTGAACATATGCATTATAGGTATGTAATAGGTCAGTATCTTAAAGCCATGCTAACTGCATATAAATCAGCTGCACTGCAATGTGTTACTCAGACATACAGTAGGCTTAATGAATCAAAGTAATATGTAAATATGTCTGAAGGGTGAATTTTATAGGCCCTGATGTTAATTCCTAGAAATTGTGTGGCTGTGCATAAATCTTTCAGTGTGCTCTGCAGAGTCAGGATTTGCTGAGGGATGCTAAGCTCCCTGGTCCCTGTGCTCACCATCTTTTTACATTTTTTATTATTAATAATTTTTAGAGAGAGAGGAAGGGAGAGAGATAGAAACATCAATGAGAGAGAGACAACATCAATCGACTGCCTCCTGCACACCCCCAACTGGGGATCAAGGATGCAACCCAGGCATGTGCCCTGACCGGGAACGGCACCGGTGACCTCTTGGTTCATGGGTCAATGCTCAACCACTGAGCCACACCGGCGGGGCCCACCGTCTTTTTAAAGTCTTAATACATCAGCCCCTAACACGTCGAGAGAACTCTGGACTCAGTGTCTCGGCACATCTCTGAAGGCACGATGACACTCGGAGCGTGTGCAGAGAGGAATGCACTTGTCTCCTAACAGGGACAGTAGGAACCAAGAAAAAAATTCAAAGTATGTGTCAGGAAAAAGTGAGGGAAATGCTATGAAATCACAGATTCTCTTCATACCCAGTGGATTTCTCATCTTAAATGCAGACAGTCTGTTGTTCTCAGCCCCGCCCCACCCCCTCTAATCATAACGTTAACATCAGGAAGGTGCTTACAGCAAAGCTTTCAGAATTGTATAGTTCGTGGATGGGGCAGTGAAAGCTGAGAACAATCGCTGGTTTTCTTATTAGGCATAGGAATTTTGAACAAGTGTATTTTGGGCTTCAAATAAGTTAGAGCACATTTACTCTGTCGTCTTTAAGGGTGGCAGTTACTACAAATGAGCTTTCACTTGAAAGCGTTAAACGCCCTTGGCAAGCAGAACTCCAGATATAAGGAGTTTTTTCAACTCTTTCTCTGGACTCTGCCACCTCGTTAGGTCATAAAACCTCTCTGAGATTCTGTTTGTCAGGGAAAAACTGGAAAAACATGCCTCAAGCCCTCCTTTTACAAACTGGGGCAAGGATAGTCATAGGACTGAGATGCCTAGCTACACACCTCAAAGCTAACTGGTGACAAAATTAGGACCATCAGAATCCTTCGCGCCCCAATGTAGCATCTTCCCACCATGCCATGCAGTATCCCAAGCTTTTTTTTTTTTTTTTGCTATTGCACAATAAGCTTATTCTTGTCTTTCGCACTCCAAATCAACTTCTTGATAAAGAAGATTAATATGCAGTAGATTCTTTGGCCTTGGAGCTTGAAATTCTTTCCAAGTCCTTGGTAGTGTACTTTTTTAGTTTAGGCATTCCAAAGTCCTTTTGCAAGCATTTGTGTTATGCTAATGACTTATGCTATCCATGTTGTATCCTCTGTTGATGAGGTAGAATATCCATTTAACAAACGAACATTTATTTATGTAAAGTAGTATGCAGGAAGTGGTATTAACAATTAGCTTTAAGTGCCTCATATGTCATTACTATTCCAACATAAGTTTGAATTCACTAAGAAGAAAGAATACAATTATATCTTAGGTAGTTTCAACACACAGTCAACTTATTTAAGGTGCGGGATCTAATTTTTTTGCAACCGTAAACAAGGACTTAAGTTGGTTTAGAAGAATTCATCCAGGACTTCTTTGAGGAAAAACAGCCCCTATAATTCCACTCTGCACAAATTCACTTGATTGTAGAGACTTAGAAGCTTAGTGTACCCCACAGGGTTTTTCTCCCATTAACTTTCCAGCCAGAAGATTCAAAGCTAGAGAAGAAAATTAAACTTTAAAATAACTTACCTGCCCTATTGCCTCTGGCAGTCAACCAGAATGAAGATTACAATAATGATAATAAAGGCAGGCTTGAGGTCTATGAAATCATGTGGAGTGAGGATATGCTCACCAGGAAACCAAATGCCAAGAGAAGGTAACACTCTTTTAGCTTAAGTGCAGGGTGCTTTGGATAAATGCAAGGAAGCCCTACTTCACCTAACACTTATTAAGCATGCTTAGGGCAGATCCTAAAACAAATTTGTGAGTTAGATGACTATCATTCTAAAACCTGGGCACTTAACCTGGGTCCTACTCCCATAGTTCCTGTTT